TTAGCGGAATTCCGCTGTCACTAAATTGTAAACATGTGAATTTTGTATTGAAGTCAAAATTGTAAGTTTCCGTTTTGCGGAATCCCAGTTAAGTGCCGAAACATATTTCGTGTTTTTTTAATCTTCTAAATATTCTTTACTCGTAAATTATAGTATTAAAATTGTTTACTTACCCAAAATAAACAAATTTGGTCATTTTTTACAAGACGTATCATTTTTAGTTATTTTGGTATGAGTTACATTAAAATCTGTAAAACAAATAAGCTAAAGTAACGAAGTTGTAGAAATATCACACAATCTACAATTATCTATGCAGTAGGAGTACATTTAGAGGCGATGAAGAGTAGTAACACCACAGAACCACCGCCTCAAAACAAACCGGACCGAGAAAGATTCACCGTTGACTTATTGAAGAGCACCGTGTACGGCGGTCTTACCGAGACCATCACCAGCCTCGGCCTTGTATCTTCCGCCTCTGCCTCCGGTTCCTCCACCGGTAAACCGTACCAGTCCTCGTTTTATAAGATTATCAAATAGTAATCAAACAAATGCAACATTAGTCATCTAATTAAATCCTTATTGAAACACTAACTATATTATAACAATTAGTTTTGATTGTTTCAGAAAATATCTTGGCTCTTGCGGTCGCAAATTTGGCCGGTGGTCTCATCCTCCTCGCTCAAAACGTAATTAATGCATCGTTAAACCCTTAAAACGTTTTGTAACATTTTCTACTATTTATTTATTTAACCGGTCCGGTTTATTATTGCAGCTTCAAGATCTAAGAAACAATTCAGATCAAGATAAAGATCGGTACGAGGGATTGTTAGGGAGACGTGCTAATTTCCGGCTACATGTCTTAGTAGCGGTCTTGTCTTATGTTTTCTTCGGCCTAATTCCTCCACTGGTTTACGCATTTTCGTTATACGAAACCGGATTCAAGAACCACAAACTCGTCTCGGTTTTCTCGGTCTCTCTGGTTTGCGTGATTCTGCTCGGTATGATCAACGTCTATGTCCGTAAACCGGGTAGTAAATCACCTAAAGCTTATCTCAAATCTGCGGCTTATTATACTTCTATCGTTGTTGCCTCTTCCGGAATTTCATACGTTGTTGGGGATTATGCGGGAGAGTATATCGGTAAGCTTGGTTGGTTTAGTTTAGACCAGGTCGGTTTTACTTCACCATTTGATGGAATTCAACCCGAGGAATACCGGTTTGCTTCATTCTGATGTGGTGAAAGGAGGAATAATGAAGCGGTCAGATCGGCGTTGTATATTTCTGATTGAGATCAATTGCTTAATCTCTTTTTCTTTCTTTTGGTTTATACGCAAAGTGGACTTTGTAAAAAACTTAAGTTTAAACCAATTTTGGAATAAAGTTCTCTGAGGGTTTTATTGTTTACAATCACATTTTTAGTCAAGTTATACTATTCAGTGTGTTGGATAAATGTGTAGGGTAAAAATGTTAAATAAGTGAGTGGAGGGGAAATGTCAACCTATATATCATAATATCCGTTGAATAAGTGTAAATTATCTAAGGAATATGATGATAGGATAGGTTTAGAATCTGAATTGTAACCATTTTTTTTGTTTTTGTTAAAAATAATCGGGTTCTTGAAAACGTGGGATAGATTTTCTGGATGTAATTAATAATAGTTATGATTGATGACAAGTGATTTGAATAGCAAAACTAGTTGAAATAAAAGATAAATAAAACCTAAAAATGAATATCGTTTGATTAAAATCGTTTAAAATTTTAATAATACGCACCATATTTTAATTGTTATTTGACCGTTATAAGAAATAAAACCACTTTGATAAATACACATAAATCATTCATTTATACAAGTAACAACGATTATATTCATATATGTTATTTTCCCCAGAAACTGGAGATTTCTTTTTAAAAAAAAAATCTTTATTAGATAGTTTTAAGAATTTAAAGTGGTTTCATTAAAACATATAATGTAAATCATATCATTTCTATAATAATGATTATTTCCATGTAATT